AACGCTACATCGACAAAACAGCAAGTTTCAAACAAACTTTTGAGTGACAATTTGCATGATTATCTTGATTCAGAAATGGATTGTGCAGATATTATGCTTGCTGAAGTAGTTTCCCCTCCTCTCCCCGAAACACCATGTAAGGCTCCTGTTATTAAACAGCGGAAGATAGAGAGCCTTGATGCTGCTAATGTCCTCTCACAACTCAAAAAACTCTCGATTCTAACTAATAATTGATCTGATGCCCTGGAACGAATGGTGGCGGAGAATGCACAAGTGATCGCGAGTATGAAAGAGACCATTAACGAAAACACCAAACAGATAGCCAACGTGAAGACAGCTGTTGAGTTTGTATGTGCCGAAGTTAATGACGTTAAAGGCCAGCTCGGTGTAATGGAAACACAAGAGAAGAAGATTGAGGCGAAATCATCTGAGCATGAACAACGTTTATCTCATCTCGAAGGATACACACGTCGTTGGAATCTGAGAATCTACAGGATCTCTGAAAAGGAGAGGGAGGATGTTCGAGAGAGGGTTATCCAGGTCTGTCACTGTCAGCAGCTTTTACCAGAAGCAAAGGACAAACTTCCATACACTGTCGATGCTGTACATCGACTTGAGCGTAAACAAGCGAGCAACGACAAACCTAGAGGAATCATGGTATTTTGTTACTTTTAGGGTTTAACCCCGTTTATAACGTTTAACATTGCACTTTATTAAAATGTCACTTGATTTAACTTAATAACCCACATAATTTGCCGAACAAAACGAGGTGCTCCATTGCTATTTTGTTTAACACATGTTTGTTACGGGTTCTTATATACTCCTGTTCTGAAATTAATCATTTGTACAACTATTTTTTGTACTGCACGACATCAATATATTGTTTTACTGTAGTTTGCTGTGCTCATGTGTATGCACATCTTTAGTCCGATCTCAACGCGTTATTTTTATTAGAGTATATTCCAAAAAAAATGTGTTTCTTTTTTTTCTTTTATGGTTCTCTCTATTCACTCACTTAATGTTAGAGGGCTAAGAAACCTTACTAAACGTAAAGCTATCTTTTTGTATCTTAAACAGTTTAATTCGGATTTTTTTTTTTTACAAGAATGTAAAAAATGAATGCTCAGATGCTCCTATTACCATGAATGAGATTGTAGAAGCGATTAATTCGTTAAAAAATGGAAAATCTCCTAGCACTGATGGGCTCACTTCAGAGTTGTATAAATTATTTAGCAAAAAAAATTGCACCATTTCTATTAGAGGTTTTTAGAGAACGCATAGAGAAAACATTTCTTCCCCCCACCCTATGTCAAGGAATAATAACCCTAATTCCAAAGCCAAACAAAGATCCCCTTTTCATTGACAATTGGACCCAAATAATTGGACCTTTACTAAATAATGACTACAAAATAATAGCTTTAGTTCTGGCCAAAAGACTAAAATGTGTCCTAAATTCCATTATTGATGAAACACAGTCAGGATTTCTGCCAAACAGAGATATATCAAACAACATACGCTTAATATTAGATCTATTGGACTATTCATATTTACTCCCAAAAGAAAGCTGTATTTTATCTTTAGACTACTATAAAGCGTTTGACACATTAGAACATGAGTTTTTGTTTCAAGCACTAAATAGAATTGGCTTTGGTGACTATATGAATAGTAGTAGCTCCATTAAGTTGAGTAACGGTACCTCCCCCCAGATTCTTCTTAAACCATGGAGTTAGACAGGACTTAAACATTAGACATTGCTGGCTGCAGAGAGACCTTTCTTTGAAAGGCAGAGGTTTGCTTGTTAAAGCAGAGGGTCTGTCTCGCCTTACTTTTGCCGCTCAGTCACTGTACATTGATCAGCACACTTGTAAAATTATCGATGGAATCTTAGTTAAATTTTTATGGAAAAACAAATCCCATTATTTGAAAAAGTCAGTGATACTAAATTCTCAACAAAAGGGTGGCTTAAACTTAATTGATTTTAGTTCACTAAATAACACAATTAAAATAAATTGCCTTAATCGATTCCTTAAAAATCCCACCTCTATTTGGAATATTTTCCCTCAGCTTGCCTTCTCGCAACTTGGCAAGTTTGCTCTAATGTGTAATTATGATGTTTATAAACTCCCTGTCAAGCTATCTAACTTTCACCAACAAGTTCTTTTGGCATGGACTTTCATTTACAAGCATAACTTTTCTCCTCATCGGTGTTACATATGGAACAATAGGAATCATTTATTTAAAGGGATACTTCACCTCTGGGAAGATGAATGTGTATTTAATATTAGTCATTTATATAGTAGAAATGTGAAATTATTTTTGAAATTGAAGCATTCTAGACTGAGAAAAGGCAGAAAATTATTTTTTTTACTCATGTGGCTAAAAGACAACAACTCCCAGAATGCACTTGCTTTGCTGCCCTTACGAGTCACTCCCAAACCACGCCTACCGGTTACAGGCGGTAGAATCCGAAAAATGGATACAACTAGGCTTGCTTTGATACATCGTGAGTTATTTGATAAATTTCCATCGAAATGGTGCTAAATTGGTTGTACCGAGATGTACTAGCCTAATGAATAAAACACAACTTAGACTTTCACATTAAAAATATGATGCAAATTGCAATGCAGGACCATGTCAACAGAGTAGCTTAGTAGCTCTGCATATGAACTGTTTTCCTCCAATTGAAATCACTATTTCCCTAAGCTAATACATTATCTAGGCTAATCCATACTCTAGTAACACTAGCTATGTTTCCATCCACACGTTTTTATCCGCATTAAGTGATATTGAATGAAAAATGCCTCATGGAAACAGTAAAATTCGATTGAATTTCATGAATATAGACTCAAATGAAATACGATCGGTCTCATCGGATTTTTATCTTGATCGATATACGCTTATGCGATAAACGCGGATGGAAACGTTATTATGGTGCGATCCATTTTGCCTAGTAAAACTTTGTTCGCAAATGTTGGCTTGAATGTTGTGCAATTCGGTGAGAAAATGAATGGAAACACCTTAACATGTCTCAAATCAATTCCATATACCAATTTGATCGCAAAACAGCATGTGACGTCATTACGCACAGGTTTTTATCCGCTTTAAAGCCGTTTGATGGAAACACACTTTCACCAGCTTTATTCGCATGAGGTTTTTTACCGAACTTCAGATAATTCGATTGACAAGTGGATGGAAACATGGCTACTGTGTGTTCACACCGAACGCGAATAGAGCGTCAAATACGCGTCTAGTTAGACACTTGAATCTTCCGCTCGAGTTCAAATTTTTCAACTTGCGCAGAAGACGTTCACGGCAAACGTGTCGCGAATGATGCGTCTATTCGCGTCTTTGCATTGACTTTGTATGTAATCTACTCGCGCAAATAATTAAATTCGCGTTCGGTGTGAACACACCACAAAGGTTTATATAAAGAACCACAACCAATGTGAGTTATAACTTTTAATTAAAAAAATAATTAATATTAACACTTTTACACTCAAAGCTCTGCGGATTCAGCGAAAATGAAGAAAATGGCATCGCTGAGATTCGCGAGAGCATTAGGACTCTATATCTGTTTCCATAGGCGCACAGCGAGAGCACTGACACCACCAGTCCCCCCAGCTCGAGCACGGTAATTCGAAAATACTCCTGGTTTTCTACTGATACAAAGCTTAATGCTAAATCCTGAAGCATCCCTTTAAGAATAAGTCTTTGTTCTATAATCATAGGTTCAGTAATGGAATATTTCATGTTAGACAGCTCTTTAATAACGAAGGTCTGCTTTTTAGGTATGTAGAGTTTCTTTCAGAATATAATATACAGGTAACTCCCAAAGAGTTTGCCACAGTTATGGATGCTATTCCATTTGGCATACACATGCTTTCCAAAAATAATACTCTCTCTTTGGGTTCATTATTCTCTCCTGAACCTGTCAACACGCCAATTGGTGAGATATGTTTCACTGAAAAAAAGTTCTATTCCTTAAGAAAATTATTTATGCCTCTCCTGCAATCTTATATTGGAATGGACTTTTTGATCATTTAAATTGGAAAAATATATGGTCCATACAACTAAGTTTTTTCCTCACAAACAAAGTAAAAGAAATATCTTTTAAATAAATTCATAATATTTACCCTGTCAAAAATTTCTTAAAAAAAAAAAATTCAGATCTGATTTTGACACTAATTGCTTTTTCTGTCAGAATGACACAAACTATTCTTCACTTGTTTTGGTAGTGCAGTTATACTCTGCAACTTTGGAAAGATGTTTAGTTAGTTTATCTCAAGCAATTCCTTGCAAAATTTCTCTATGAATCCCAAAACTGTTATTGTTGAAAGTGGATAACTGTTGAAAGTGGATTCAAATGCCTGCCTTATAATAAATCTAATTATTTTCCTATGTAGATTTTATATTCACAAATGTAAGTTTTCAAATTGTGAACCAATTCTTTTGGTATTCTTACACGAGATAAAACATTACTTGATTACAATTTCATCCTCTCTTAACCTAAAAGCACTCAGAACATGTACAATTTGCAAGACCTACAAACTTGTTACCTTAATTAATGTTTAGATTTCTTTTAATTTAAGTAATGCCCTCTTTCTTTTTTATTTCACTGTCTAACTGTTTTTTGTTTTATGCTATGAAGTTGTTGAAGTGTTTTCTTTCACTATTCTTTATATTTTTGTTATTCTTAATAAATATTGTTGTGTTCCAATTTTGTTGTTTTACACTGTAAACTGAATGTTCAAATAAAGCATACAAATAAATATAAAAAAGACTCGGTGTCAGTCAGGTGTCGTGTCAGTGTTTCGCGATAATGTCAGTGATCCTCTGACACATATGCCAATAGCGATTGTGCCAATAATAAGCATAGTGACATGTGCCATTGGCTTCGTGCGTGTCAGTCACTTAATGTTTAAACTGCCGAAACAACTTATGGACATTTTTGCAGATTACTCAATTTTTAATTGGCATAAAACATAACATTTCATATTTACCACTGTCGACCTCGTTTGCCATTGCTCTTGCACAAATGCCTTCTTTATCAATGAGTTGTGTTAAAGCGGGGCATTTGAAATGGACCTGAATGTAGAAACAACACCACATTAACAAACTTATAAACCACAAATGATCCAGTGACATGAAAATACAGACAGATAGTAGCATTATAACCTGAAATACAGCAAACACGGTTGCTAAAAATCAACGTTGACGACACGTACAGCAAATACCTGTGAAGCTTGTTCTTCTAGTCTGAAAAACATACTCACCAATTATCTAGTTGGCACAACACAGATAATATTTCGGATTTTGCCCTATTATATGTACCGGACAAATCACACTTCCAAACGCGACTGCGCCACTGTGGTTCCGGGGTCTCGCTAGGAACTGTTTGACTAAGTGAATTGTTTCCTTCGGAAGTTTTCTGAAAAGGGACATCATGTGCGCAAAAAAATAAAAATAAAATAAAAAATATCTTCAAATAACAGAGGAATTAATAATTGTTATATAGACCCACAATAAACCAAGCAGCATACACTTAAAGCAAAAAATATTTAAAATAAATAAATTACTTACAAATAATAAATTACTTAAATGTAGCTATTTAAGAGGTGGAGTGTTCATAAACTCTGCAGGGCTAAATCAAGTCACTCACAAACCAAAGTTTTTTCTAACAGTTGCAATGATTTAATGGCATTCTTCGTAAAGCTTAATCCACAAAAAAAACTACTTAGACATATTTATAACCGATTGGTATGGGTCTTCGTAAATTTAGCTAACTAAATATGCAGTTTACAATATTTTCTTAAACAAAATATATAATCACTTCATGTAATACAATCCACAAATCGTATATTCCTTTCTATGTAAAATACGTTTTTAATTATTTTGTTCATAGTTTTGCATGCCTTGTTCATAACCTAAGAGACAATTTCGGACTATTTTTTTCTTTAAAGAAACTCCTCCTCAAGTGCACACATTATGTATCCATGTTTCAGCAATCTAGTAGAATGCACACTGTTTCCAGTGGCATTGTTTTAATCTAATATTTATTTAACTGAGGAATAAATAGAATTAAAATAAATTGTAGAACACACTTTCCAATGTTATTACAAAGTTAAGATGTTTATGTTTCATTCACAATAGCCCCACAAACATGTGGAACGTGTGATGCCACAGACACAGGTTACATTAAAGTGAAGGAAAATAGTACTACTTCTTTTGAAAACCAAGGTACTTTTATTTGAAATGCTACCAACTTGTCACCAGTCTAATACAAATTCCTCATGGCATTGAGAGTTAGGAACAGAGGGATGGTAAACAAACAAGTGTAGCATACCCTGAACACTCGGGTGATTAAACCAAACCTTACTTGCTCGAGGTATGCTGGTTCCAACAACGCGTCCGGGAGTAAGTTCAGCCAATCCAGAGTATGTTCATGGTTAGGTTTAGTTTAATCAACCTTGAGTTCAGGGTATGTTTGACGGTAACATAACCTTGCTTTCTGGAATACACCCCTGACCATACATGACTGTAATACATTTGTGAAGTATAAACACATCAGGCACTTGCTTTTGATCGAATTAGTGAGCTATGAACATTAAAAAATATATAAGACACTATTTGTCAAACATATTTCACAGGACTGAAAAAGTTAACAGTTAAGCCTGTTGTAGTGTAATATCATACCAACACAATTTAAGGCCTAATGGAATTTGGAGACAAACATATGGACTGTCAAAGAAACAACAGCATAGCTCTTGGCTACTTTTCAAGTAATAGAGTGGAAGTTGTAAACTGTATTTTTAAGATGTTCCATTGCAAACTAGATCTGAAAACTTGGAAATCACATGGCTGTAAGGAATGCTGGTGTTTAACACCACAATAGCCTAAAAGTAGTTTTCCACATCTCCCATTTCCACCACAACAGTCTTGAGCTGAGAGTAGTACTCAATCGTCACTTGCCCATTCTCCCTTCCAAACCCTAAAAGAAAAGGGGAAGGTAATAACATGTTAGATCTCTCTATCATTTACGAAGTATACTTATATGTCCTGAAACACTTGGCCGAACAGATTTAGGTTTAAGTTTTCCTGATAATCGTCTCATGAAACGATAATCTTAGAGTACCTGACATCTTGTAGCCTCCAAAAGGAACTTCTACAGGGCCAACATTGTAGTTGTTGATATAGCACGTTCCAGCCTGAATGTTTGCAGCAACTCTGTGGGCACGAGCTATATCCCTAAAAACAAAGCACAGGAGAATGTTAAATCTATTATTTTGTTTACTGGGTTCATTTAGTCCAATTAATAAAAACAAAATATGAAAAAAAATTATGTTAAAATTCACAGAAATGTATTATATCAATATTTTTTTGTAGATAACGGATTCAGTTAAATACAACTAAATCATAGCACTTCCCACAAAACAACATTAAAAATAAACTTAATAAATAAACCATAAAAAAGATCTCCTGTTTCAAGACTACTGTAGGTTTAAGGCCTATTCAAAGAATGATAACTATAAAAATAACAATAAATATATATCGTCCACACCAACGGACAATAACGTTAATTACTGCAGTTATGTTGTCTGCCACTTTAAATGCTCAAGCTCTTTAAAGTTAGATTTTGATTGGCTCTATTTTTTTATATAGTTATTATAGTGGTGTGGACTTCCTTGTTCTCAGAATTAGAATGATTATTAAACTGTATAGTTAGTTATCATTATAGTTATTGTTCTTGGTGTAAACGGGCCATTTCAAAGCGGGGTTGGGGACAGAAAATATCATTATCTTAGTAAAGTCCTCACCAAGATAATATGTGTGTGTGTGTGTGTGTGTGTGTGTGTGTGTGTGTGTGTGTGTGTGTGTGTGTGTGTGTGTGTGTGTGTGTGTGTGTGTGTGTGTTCTCCGATCAATTCCAATGGGATGTTCTGTTAATCATTTTTATTTTAATCACGTGCATTAACTTTGGCAGACCCTAATTTTGAAACAATATATATTCTGTATGGAGTCACCTAGTGAAGACTCCAGATGCCAGGCCAAAGGTTGTGTTGTTGGCTCTTTGAAGAACCTCCTCCTCTGAGTCAAAAGGCAGAACAGACATCACAGGTCCAAAGATCTCCTCCTTTACACAGGTCATATCATCCCTGCAGTTATCTGTGTGTGTAGCATAGCAAAAGTATAAGTACAGGTAAAGAAAAAGGAGCTCAGAATCAAGCTGATTGTGAGATAAAAAGTTAAAATCTTTGTTTAAGAAAATTGTAATATAATGGTGATGATAATAATATGGCTTTCTCACCTAACACACATGGAGTCACAAAGTATCCGTCTTTCAGTTTGGAATCACTGGGAACAAATCGTTCTCCTCCACATAAAACCTTTGCACCCTAAAACAAAAATGATAAAGTTTTCTCAACTACTTGAATAATATTTTAAACAGTGAAAAATTTAAAAAAGCATGAGTGTCATGTTTGTGATGTGGCCATTGCGTTCAAAGTCAATTATGGAAGGCCGGGGTTTAAGCAGACAAAATGATTGGAGAAGTCATATGTCATCAAAGAGAAGTCTGTTGTGTTCACTGGAAGATCAAATTGACATTTTGTTTACAGTACGAGGTAAAAAAAAAAAAAGTATACAGATGAACTCACACTAAGATTTATCTCTAATAATCTATAACATGTATTAAAGGTGAAATATCATGAAAATCTGACCTTTTCCGTGTTTAAGTGCTATAATCGGATCGCGGTGCATCTACCAACCCAGAAAACGTGAAAAGTGACAACCCAGTAACTTTGTTGTTGCCTTTCTCTGCAAGCATGTCAAAAAATAAGCCGATCAGATTTCGCTCCCCTTCTAACGTAGGAAGGGGATTTTGTTAAATATTACTTAATCTGCACGTCTTCTCCCACGACGCCGCCCATTTGGTTTTCGCAAGCCACAATAGTGTAACCAGTTCTGACACAATGGCAAAAGTTCGAGCAAAGCATGTAAACTGTTCTGTCGTTGGTTGCACAGACGAGCACAGAACACTATTTAGAGTCCCAGCCTCTAGATTTTGAATGAGTGAGATTATTCGCATTGTTTTGTTATTGAATCCGAAGCTTGTGTACATCTTGTGAAAAGGGGCATACTATGTCACCTTAAACAATTTAGATGGGATGACTTTCATTGCAGGCTGAGTAGTAGTAGTATAGATTTGTATGCCATGTCAGAACATCTAAGGCTATTTTCATGGTAAAAAAAACGTACATAAACACAATAAAAAATCTAATCCAAACAAAATACAGCAGTTAAAATTACACAAGATGTTTTACATTTACATATGATAAAAACTTTTTCCTGGTAAAATCTAACTAAACAAGGCTTCAAGTGAGCTTTCATTTCATGCTCACTTTAAGTAGCTGTACTACAGTACCTGTTCTTTAGCTTGTTGGATAAAGCCCAGCACTTTTTCCATGTGGGGTTTACTGATCAAAGCTCCCATGCGTGTCCCGTCACACATGGGATCTCCAACAGAAATAGCCTTGGTCCTCTTCACCACTTCCTCCAAGAACTGTGGCATGATCTCCCTCTGTACAAACACCCGTGTTCCATTGCAGCACACCTGGGAAAAATTCGACACATTTACAGTACTGTCTTTAATGAGACGCGGCCCTTCTGTTCTGTTCTAATAATATTGGGCAATCAGAGGCAACAAAAATTTTGTTTTTTGCAGGTTTGGTTTATTTATAAAGAAGCTTTCTTCTAGAAATGTGTTAAAGTTTACGTGCAGTACTACACTAGTCCAGCAACACATTAGTGAAACCTGATGCTTTTGGGTTTGAGTCCCATCTGGGCCACATAAAAGCATCTGAGGAATCCAGTGATGTGCAATTAGTTCACTTTCATTAGCTACGTTTCCATCCAAAGGAATATTGCATTAAACATTTGCAAATAAAGCACCGTTTCCATCCCATGTGTTTAAGTCAAGAGAACAAAATTGTTACTTCCTGAGAAATTGGCGCAAAATATATGTAATAAAAACTGAAGTTTATTCAACGGGGGAAGCTACTGTGGCTCTTTTATGCTACATCATAAATTACGTGTGCCTCAGAGCCCACGCGTAGATGATGCAGCATATCAGATAAATACTGCGTTCGGATGCCTGGTGTTTAGAAACACAATCGTGGAGACGCTTCTGGGAGGGAATTTAACCAAATCATTTTGAAGACAGACTTTGGCTTAGGCATTTCAGAATGACCAAACCATAATTTGAGATGCTGTGCAATGAATTTTTGGCCACTGGTTAGTCCAGTTATCCAATCATATCCTCTGTTGAGGATATGTCATGGGAATTAGTTGCATATGGAGGGATTTATTCGGTAAATGTGTTTCTATCATGGTTAATGCGCATGTCTGCTTATCGGATTTTAAAAAAATGATCTGCCTTAATTGAGCACATAAGTTATGCGCATTTTTAGAATTTATGCGCATGTTAGCGTTTCCATCCAGTGTTTTTTTTTTATGAGATATCCCAAAATGTGCATAAAAATAGGTGGATGGAAACATAGCTAGTGACAACAAAAACAGACACCCTTTGAAATTGCAAAAAAAAACAAATGTGCAAATGTCTGTGTTTATAGTAAAACGTGTGTGGTTGAAAGAAATTATGTTATTGTTTTTTACACACCTCTCCCTGGGTGAGGAAGTTAGCCATGAGGGCCCCTTTGATTGCATTTTCCAGCTCACAGTCTTTAAAGATGATCAGTGGTGACTTTCCTCCAAGCTCCAGAGTCACCTGCTTCACACCTTTGGCTGCCATTTCCATAACCTTTATAAGAAAGGCACACCACATCAGAAATACATTTTGTAATAAATAAGAAATACAATACATACACATGTCAATGTCTATGGTTTTTATTGAAGAACATATAGTTCTGGAATACAGAACATAACTTCTGGAATTACAAAATTGTGATTAATTAATTATATATATTAAATTAATTAAATGTTAATTAGCTAAATGTAAAAAAAAAATGTTTTTTTGAAAATAAGCAGCTTTGTCATAATTTTAGCAGAACTACTAGAAAGAGTGAAGACTAGAAGAGTGAGGATGAAAGACTTCAAAGGGAAACCAAAATGTTTATAATGACTGCTAACATTACCTTGCACTGATGTTACTGATTTTCTCCTGGTTTGTTTTGTTTTCATGCTATACCTTCTTTCCGGTGGGAACACTGCCTGTGAAGGACACTTTAGCCACCATGGGATGGTGACACAGCAGCCCTCCAGTCTCGGCTCCTCCTTGTACCACGTTAAAGAGTCCATCTGGGACACCTGCCTCTTTATAGATCTCTGCCAACATGACTGCTGTGACTGGGGTCATGGGAGACGGTTTAAACACCATGGCATTGCCTAAGAGGGGATTGGGGAAGATGATCATATGTTTGCATATAAGACAGAAACAGACATGGGGGAGCAAGGAAATGATAGAGGACCACTTTCATAAAGTAAACACAATCATGGGGTGTATCCTGTCACAAATTACAGATATATAAAGCAATATTCTCATACCGCAGGCCATAGCTGGGGCTGACTTCCAGGCAGCTATCTGGAATGGGTAGTTCCAAGCTCCAATGCCGACACACACTCCCAGTGGCTCCCTTCTGGTGTAGGCAAAAGATCCTCCTGGAAGCTGTATGTGCTGGCCTGCGTTTACAAAAAACATTCTTAGATATGATGTATAAAGCATTTCCATTTAGATTTTGAGAATATTAGTCACCTTTTCATGTTTATCAACCAGTATCCAAACCTACCTGACAGTGTGGGGGCAATGCCAGCATAGTACTCAATACACTGCCAAGCAACATCAATATCCACCTGAGCCTCAGTGATAGATTTGCCATTGTTGGCCACTTCTGCTCTCGCAATTTCATCTCTGCGCTCCTGCATGTGAGAACAGAAGTTCCGAAATTTTTACAATCATAAAATAATGATAGACATGAACACAGGGAACTGATACAAAAAACTCTCTTTCCACAATAACATTTATTTAGAGTAGTTAACTGCCATGGAAAGCCCACTTTTTGCCCTGTTCATATTTCCCATAGGGTTTTAATTTTTATTTTTTTGCTGGTTTAAGAGTTATAAGCCATGAACCAAACCAACCAGCCACAAGGTGAAGAATATTAGAATATTGTGAATGACAATCAAATTAAACATGGAGAAATATAAAACTATAGAAACAAGATATTTTGGGTTTATTGCAAAATATGCATATTATTTATATAAATGTTTAAGTAGTTTTAGAGTGTAGAGAGATTGACTTGATTACATCAATTGCAGTTCTTCATAGGATTGGGTGACAGTTCTTTAGGACAGTTCTTTAGGTGTGATTTACTTGTCGGGATACTCAGATTGGTGGAGTTTTCTCTGCAGAATCATGTAGCTCTACACTAGAAATTCCGCTGTTCAATGTCATTATTTCAAAAATAAGTGAAAATAATGCAGGCGGATGACTTCAAAAGCAATATACAAAAACATGTACCCTCTCGACAAAAGCATATACTCTCGATAAACACCCTCTGAGGAGAAAATGAATCAGATTTTTACTTCCAGAACCCGACTGTTGCACTCTATTGACTACTACACTGTTCATGAGAACATCTTTAGAAGCAGCATTATACATTATATGTGTTTACCCTAATAATTCTGGCAGCCTGCAGCATGATCCGGGCCCTCTCCATTCCTGATAATTTACTCCATTTTAGGTATGCAGACTGAGCACTTTTTATGGCCTGATCTACCTCCTCCTCTCCACAGGGAATCATATCACACAGCACACGACCTGGGAACAGAACAGAGGGTGAAGTACAAGCATTGAACATGATAAAGTAAGGCTGTTTGTGAGCACATACTTTTGTTTCATTAAATTAAAGGTGTTCAGGATTTTTATATTTAGACTTAACATACTAGTTACAAAGTAATGTTTATATAATTGTCTATTGAGATGTGAGCAGGATAGTTATAGTAAATCAATAACTCCATGCACAGCCTGTAAAACTATGGCATTGTGATTAACTCCGTTTAGAACTACAAACACAACTAAAAAGAACTACAAACATGACAGATCTGTGTGAGACCAATGTTTAAATAGAGATTTGGGTAAATGGGGAGAAGTGATTAATAATCAGTATCTAAACCTGATGAAAAATAATTATTTAATGTTATCTAGTTAATATTTCACCTGCAACAACGTGCTGTTCACATTTTTATAAAAGTTCACAATAGCAATATAAATTGCTATTAAATGACCCAGGACTGGCAGATCAACGTGCTACTGCTATTTCTTTCACCTCCAATATGGAAGGATGAAATGTTGAGTAAAGTATTAAATTAAATAAAATGCGGAGTGTGTATGAATAAATTAACTGACAAGATTATTGACCTGCAGTATACAGTTACAGGATGCATATGCAGCTCAACAATCTGTGGATTCCCAGACACAATTATGATTTGGTAGTATGTACTACTCTTCTGCTTTTTTTTATTATTATTATTTTTTATGTTATATTGACATCAATTGGCCTGCCCTGGATACATGAAGTTTGTTTACCAACTGCTCCTGCTTCACACTAAGGCTATTTGTTTATTTTTTACAGTGTCTCTAGTATGTATATTATGTCATTGTTTTAGTTAGCTAAGTCCTAGCCATATCATGTTTAATGCATTATATATAGTTGGTCAATTGCATGACATGCTGATCATATGATGTCAAACGGAAATGCTCATGAGGGGGTGACGCGCTCCATAGTAGGATTAAAACTAGAAAAAAAATATATGCACAATGCACATAACCTAAAAGTAATTTAATACGGTTAATAAATCATACCAGTTGCAGGTTCGTATACTGGTTCCGAATTCTTTGTGTCCTTCGGCTTCACTCTCGCTCCTCCCCAGAAATTCAGCGGCTCCTTCACCACCAAAGTACCCGTGGAAACATTCTGAAACTCGGGCAGCGACAGTAGCAGTTGCTGAGCCATTCTGGTCTGGACAGGAACCTAAATACTCGATCAATGTCAATACTTGTTAGCAGTATATTTTGTTTCCAATCAATCATGAATCAGGCTGCAGTAGTTTCAATATTAATAGGCAACGTGTACTACAGGAATACATGCAAAGTTAAAGTTGTATGCATGCAAAGACTAACATACTCTGTGTGGGAATGGGAGATACCGGTAATGGGAATGAGTACTGCGTCGCTAGATGCAATGGGAAAACTCCTTTTTCTCAGATAACTGAAGATTCTAGAATAACACAGTGAAACGGCATGACCCTATGGAGAGAAAGCCGTCGAAATGGGCAGCATTCTGCAATAGGGAATCAGGTTAATTCGACTAAAGCGACAAGCGACGAAAGCCGAGTTGTGGAGCATGATAACATGGCCAGGGACACAGTACTTGTTCCCGTTATCTCAGGGAACCGAGGTTGCGTTAGTAACCAAGTACGTTCCCCTTTTTTAAATGGTTCACTCGTACTGCGTTGCTAGACACAATAGGAAGTGAACCCAGTCCAATCGCGCAGTGCTTAGAACTGCGGAACGACAATTGTTCTGGGGCCCTGGCCAAGGGCGCTTGAATAAGGGCCCACAGGTACCAGGGTTAGGATAGGCATTATAATAGACAAAAAACAAGGACTCAGACTACATGTCGGAGTCGCATGGAGGGTTCTAGCAGGTTGAGCTCACGTAGAGGTCAAACCCTAGCTTACACAGACAGGACATATGCTTGTAGCGCAGGGACATCCAGGTTATAGAATCTGGTGAAAGTGGATGGCGAGGACCAGCCGGCCGCCGCACAAATGTCGCCAATTGACACTGTCAACTGTCAATTGACAAGTGTGCTTTAACTTCGATGGAGCACTATTGGCCCATCGAAGCGTAGGCCAACGCAATTGTGTCCACTATCCAGTGTGACAGTCTTTGCTTCGTGACCTGATGCCATTTGGTGCGGCTGCCGAAGCACACAAAGAGCTGCTCTGACTGCCTGAATGGGGCAGAGCGCTCAATATATACTCTTAAGGCCCGAACAGGGAAGAGTAGATGAGACTTCTGCTCGCCGTCAGATGGGGGAAGCAGAGAGCGTAATTACCTGTGCCCTGAACGGGGTTGAGAGCATCTTCGGCACATAGCGATGCCATGGTTCGAGGATGACCTTACAGTCGTTAGGCCCAAACTCAAGGCAAGAAGCACTCACAGAGAGCTCTTGTAAGTCACCCACTCGCTTGACCGATGCTAAGGTTAGCACGACAGCGGCCTTTAGCGAAAGGGGTCATAATTCGGCCAGCTGAAGTGACTCGAAGGGAGGGCACTGAGGACCGCAGACAGGTCCCATGTATAAACTGTGAGGGTGTGGGGCGGGTTTAGCCTCGTAGATTCCTTCAGAAAATGAACAACCAGGTTTTTCTTGCCTACGGACTGGCCGGCCACAGGAGCGTGGAATGCTGCTATGGACGCCACATAAACTTTGAGCGTGTTAGGGGTGTGAACCTTATCCAGCAGCTCCTGAAGGAACGACAGTACTAGTGAAATGTCACAGGACATCAAGTATTCGCTTCTAACTGTGAACCATTTAAGATAGACAGAAGAAGACGACATACAGTAGAGGCGTCTTGTGGATTGGGCCAGCACGAAGGCTGGGCCAGCAGTTTATGTAGGACACCACTGCCGTGTTGTCTGACTGGACTAAAACATGGTGCCCTTTCAGATCTGGCAGGAAGGTTCTGAGGCCCAGAAAGACTGCCGGTATTTCCAGGCAGATGATATGAAGTGGGCTGGAACTGGTTTCAGCCAGTACTGTACTGTACAGCAGAAGTACTTGTGATGCGGAGGCCATGAGGCCCAGCCTCCTCTGAAACTTCCAGAGGAGGGGGGGGGGGGGGGGGGGGGGGGGGGGTTGTGAGAACCCAACCTTGAAAGATGTTGTGAGCCAAAGAATCCCCAGGGCTCGTTCTGGCATAAGCGTGGCCCGCATTTGGGCTGAATCGAGAACTGCTCCCAGGCATGAGGTTCGCTAGCTGGAAGACAGTGAGCTCTTGGCAATATTGATCCTGAGTCCCAGGCATTCCAAATGACTGAGGAGCATGGATCTGTGAGTTTCTAGCTCGGCCTCCGACTGAGATGCTACGAGCCAGTCGTCAAGGTAATTCAGGACGCGTATTTCCTTCTGTCTCAGAGGGGAGAGGGCCGCATCCATGCACTCCGTCAAGGTGCGTGGTGCTAGAGAGAGTCTCAATTGGAATGACTGAGAAGCACAGATCTATGAGTTTCTAGCTCGGCCTCCGATTAGGCTAGTACGAGCCAGTCGTCGAGGTAATTCAGGACGCATGCTCCCTTCTATCTCAGAGGGGAGAGGGCCATATCCATGCACTTCGTGAAAGTGCGTGGAGCTAGAGACAGTCCGAATGGAAAGACCGTACTACTACGACCGTAGTACTAATGCCATTTGTGTGTACATAGCATGACAATTCATTTATTAAAAATGTATTCTAGTATTATTATAAACTGTACCACATCACTATTAGCAGTGGTGTAGTGCAGGGTATACGCAGGTATACGGCGTATACCCACTTCTTTTTCAGTCGGCATTGCGTATACCCACTTCTAAATCCCCTCTGATGCGCATCATTTAGTTGCTAATCCAATCTCGTGAATAAAAAAAACACCCAGTCAGGGTCGTACCCCTAATATTAACTCTAATTTGTTGCTGCAATGATTCTCCCATCGCGACGATAACTGACCTTTCTCATCTGATCTGCTTCAGCACTCAAACACCCGCTCGTCAATGTCAAAATGTTTGAGACCAATCAAAGCATGCAGGATTTTTTGTTCACAGAAGCGCAAACCGAGCGCTAATCCCAACGCGTCGTTTCACTTCAGTTAACGATCATACAGTGCGAGATAAGATGCAAGTAGCTAAAATATACAATATTAACCAACAATATACGGCTGGTTTTCGATAGAAGTTTTAAATGACCGACAGAAATAATCAGTTTGATCAAAGACAGTGGAAATTATAAGCTCAATTTAACAACACAAGCACCCCATTAAATATACTGCCATTATTATTGTATAAATATATTTGTATAACGTTTTCTCGAATGTTTTCGACTTTTCACTGTTTGTATCACTCCGCTTGTCTGTGTTTGCGCAACTTGCATCATTAGGCCAGAAGGCGGCGACAAGTGACTGTCTTTATGAGTGAGCAATTGAACCATTAATTAAATGAACAGATTAGTCCAAAAACATTGATTAATTTAGGAAAGAAAAAGTAGCTGAAACTGGAACTGATTCTCATGTTTAAGAATCTGATCAAATACTTTTAATACAAATGCTTTTACTGTTGTCCATTTTTTGGCCATCAAAACTACTTAAAATGCTCATGTCGAGATCAGGAAAATCAAAAATTTCTCGGGGGGGGCATGCCCCCGAACCCCCCTAGCAATATCATTTATGGGACCTGGCTATTTAGAAAACCCTATGTACGCCCCTAATATGCAAGAATACTACTGATTCTATATGTTCTATTGTATTCTATATTCTAGTCTTGCATATTCAATACTAATGCAAGACTAGTCTTACATGTCACTGTTTATAAGCGTTCATCCTTTGCTGGGATGCTTAAAAAAAATATTGGGGGCATAAATTAAGAGTATACCCACTTCTCCAGGCACCACTACATCACTGACTATTAGGATCATTGCTGTTCACTCTGTACATGCTACCCTTGGGGGATATCATTAGGAAGCATGGCATTAGTTTTCACTGTTATGCTGATGATACTCAGCTCTATTTTTCTTTGCACCCTGATGAAACCAAGCGTGCCGCACAAGCCCTGAAAAGTGAAGCCAAAACATCTCGATCGCCCCCCGGTGGCTGGTCCTAGTATAGGTCATAAACCCTGCCTCCCCATGTTATTCAATGGCACGTGAGACCAACCAAACAATTAAATTACACTTCAAATATCTTTTTTCCAAAGATGGTTTCTGTCATTTACTGTAGTTTGTATCATGCTGATGTAAGTTCAAGTGTTTGTTTTTTGTTTTTAGTTAGTTATTTGACGCGGTGGTGTCATGATTGACAGCTGTGATTGACAGGTTCTCTGAACGAAGTAGTCACTGAAGCACCAACAGACTTTTTTCCGGGATCTTCGGAGGACTGAGGATATTGGAGCTTTAAATTTAATATCTAAATTTCTATAATTAATTTTAAAAAAGTGCAGGAGCGTATGTTTGCGATTGATTCTGCGACAGTGAGGCCGGGGCCTTGATTTCGCGGCTTTACTTCCTGCTCACTACTACGCAGGCCTGGGGTGCTTCTCATTTCTTATTTGTGCATCCTCGTTTCCTTTCCTCGCTTCCTTTCCTTGCGTCTCAGCTCCACCCCCTGCAGGACGCGAGGGAAGGCTGCAAGGAAAGAAAAGGAGGACGGAGGAATCGAAGGAAAGTTTTTTTAATACTTTGGAATACTTGACCACTCGAGCGTCATTTCACTGCGTCATCAGCAGCGCTCAAAGGATCTGCCCTTATGTTGTTGAAGTTTGGCTATTTAAGAAATTTGTAATAAATAATAATAAAGCAAGATACCCTGTTGAAATATGTGACATGTGTGCTTTATATAAACTGCAATGGTAAAGTATAAATTAAAATGATTGTGACCGACGTGAAGGGGGAGGAGAATTTATACGTGCGTCACGTTTAGTCGATAAAACACTTCCGCAAAGCATACAACTGTGCATCCTCGCTCATAGCTCCTCTGGAAGCCTCCTCACTCCTCGATCCTCGCCTCCTCGCGGTGCAATTAGAGAATTGAGATGTCCTTCAAGATGGCTGAGCTCGATCGGTTTCCGGGTCATAGGATGGAGGACGGAGGAGCGAGGAGACGAGGAGGGATATTGAGAAGCACCCCTGGTCCCGAGATCGCTACTGTGCAGACTCAAGTTCCAAGATGTCACCGCCATATCGGGACACTCACAGATTCACTTCTGACCAATGGAAGAGAGCG